TCTCCCCCAGCTCATGGCTCTGAGGGACCTCCCCACTTAGGTGGGCTCTGCTCCGTCCAAGGGCGCAGGGGAGGGCAGGGAAGGCTCCACACAGGGGCAGGGACACCTTTCCAGCCTTCCCAGAGCTGCTGTGGGGTCCGAGGGGAGCAGGGTGAGGTCCCACCACTCTGTGACCAAGCCCCTGGGCACTGCTCCCTTCCCCAGAGAAACCACGGACCTTCTCCCAGCGCGAGAACAACTTCACCGTGAAGATCTTCACCTTCCAGTTCTTCACGAACTTCTCTTCGCTCATCTACATCGCCTTTTTCCTGGGACGGTGAGTGGTGGCTGACGGGGAGCAGAGGGGACCTGGGCTTGGGCACACACCCCCCAACTCCCCCCAGGGTCCAGGCCAGCCCAGTCCTTCCACTCCCCTGCCAGGAACAGGGACCCGTTTGGGACCTCAGGACGGCCTGTGACTTTTCCCCGAGGGCACAGTGGGTGGGGGAAGCCCCATGCTGCTCCATCAGTGCCCAGAGGATGGTGATGGTGGCCTCCATCCTGCACCTGGCTGTGCACCCAACGGGGGTCAGTGGTGGGGCTCAGCAGATATCGCCGTTGTCGCTTCCTTGCACAGGATCAACGGCCACCCAGGGAACTACGTGCGTGTCGCTGGCAAGTGGAGGCTGGAGGAGGTGAGGGACTCGCCGTGAAGCTCTCTGAGCCCCCACCACAACTCCCACTCTTCCTTTCCCTGCCGCCCAGCACGGCTCTGGGAATCTCAGCATCCTCCTGCAGTGCCTGCCTTGGCCAAACAGCCCCTGGGGCACAACTCCTCTCCTCCCGTCCCTTTGCAGTGCCATCCCAGCGGCTGCATCACCGACCTCTTCATCCAGATGGCCATCATCATGTTGCTCAAGCAGACCATCAGCAACGTGATGGAGTACCTCATCCCGTAAGCTCTCCTCCAGCCCGCGGAGCGCTCACCGGCGCTCCTGCACGTGCAGGAGCAGCTTCCCAGCTCTTACAGAGAGCAGCCCCGGTCTCTGGGCCAAGATTTCCTCCTTTTCCTTCCTGGGGTCTCCAGGGCTGTCCCCGGCAGCAGCTCAGCCCTGCTGTCCTTGCAGGCGGCCGCACAAACCGCTCCCTCCCCTTGCAGCTGGATCGCCTACAAGGTGCGCAAGAAGCAGCAGCGCCCCAAGAAGCGAAGCCTGATGCTAGGGGAGGAAGAGGAGGCCGAGGACCCCTGCAAAAGGCAGGGGCTGAGCAACTACCGACTCAACGAGGTCAACATCTTCAGCTTGTTTGACGAGTTCTTGGAGATGGGTACGTAGGGCAGGGGGTCGAGCGAGGAGGGCTGCTGGGTGCAGAGCCATGTGCTCTCCTTGGCCGGAGAGAGACCGATGCTGGGGAGCTCTGGGACCCAGCTCCATGCCCAGCCCCACTCCCAGAGCTCCGGCACACCAAGGAGATCCTTCCCAAGACAAGAGAGAGCAGGCAACTGCACTGCCCTTGTGCCCCTGCCTAGGACCTTCCTCTCCTCCCAGGAGCATCAGGGTGATGGCTGTGACCCCGGGCAGTTCCTCTGCCTGGCTGCCCCCCCATATCCCCCCACCCGACAGCCCCGTGAGAGGTGGGGGTCCCCTGTGGGGTCCCCAAGACAGGTCTGCCTCCCCCTTTCACACCTTCAAAGCCCCTCTGACACGAGCCTCAAAGCAGGACAACCCCAGAGAGCAGTCGGGATCCCATGGGAGGTCCGCTCTGGGGTGGC